GAGCCGGGTCATTTTGCTATAGTACATAGCAGGGCAAGGAGTTTTGTAGGCAGAAGATCTTTTTTGGATCTTGTCCAAAAAGTATTGCTAGGCAATTCAGATAGCTTAATTATAATAGCCTCTCTGGCTCTCCTGTTGCTGTGATCAAGAGAGAGAATAACAATTTGAATTCTCATCTTGATGAGAATGGCACAAAGAAATTGAAGGAAAAACACAGGAATATAATCTCAAGGATAGAGAGCATTGGATATGCTTTCTGCAAACATGCACACACATGGAGACACACACTACATAATTCAAGGCTGAATTTTTGAAATGATACTTTTCAGGGGAATTTGGAGTGAACTTCACATTCAGTGAAATCTGAGCAGAGTTATATGAATTTGTTGATTTAAATCAAAGAGACCAGGTGTTGTATGCTGGGATAGGTGAATTTACAGAGGAAACATTAAAGGAAATAGAGGGATCATTAGGAAAGGATGGGGAAAGCAAACACCAGGATGACGAGATGTGACACAGACAAACCAAGGAAGAGCCTTTCCCAGGCACTGGAGCTTCTTAGGGGTATTCAGTGTGGCTGAAATACAGGGAAAGCAGTAAGCAGGATAAGGAAAATGAAGAAGAGAAAAAACCTAGGATATGCTATTATAGACTGGTAAGGTTAATTCTAGAGGGAGCTGTGATGGTATGTATTCTTTTCGGAGAAAAAAATTAAAGCTTAGAGGTTCATGGTTCTCCCTAGGTCACACAGCTAACTAACAGCATAGACCCTGCTGTATGTAACAGATGAAGAACAACTCCAGATATATACTATCGTGAACCAGGAACTATTCATTTACCAGACTTGTGGCTCACACAGAATTATGATGTTAAGGAAATTTTGTTGTGTAATAGGTTTTTTGTAGAAGAAACCACTCCCAGCATGTTGTAGGCGAAGAATTTCTCTTTGTAGCATTTTATCTCTACTTTTTTGATTCCTACAAAAATTTTGTTAAAATTCAATATAGTTATGACTGCATGATTTATGAGTCCTTCATCCTCATGAGGAAATTAAAGATTTTTAATAATAGGGAAAGAAGGCAGTCTTTTAAATTAGCCTCTAGCTTATCTACTTAACTTAAACTCACCTAGTTAAGCCATTTTTAAAATTGGAAAAGTTTTCACTCATATAAAAAAGCTCTTCTGAGATTCTTATTTCATTTCTTTAAAGCCATTATTTTTCCCTTAAGTAAGACGAATTCAACCTCAATCATTTTTTTTTTTTTGTCTTTTTCCTTTTTTTTTTTTTACTTTGGAAAGAAGAGGTAATGACTTAATTGTGGACTTCATTTGACTTACTTTGTTCCTTGGATATTTGGGAAATGCATGCTCTTTCCTGCTACCTTTTTTTGTTTGTTTTGTTTTGTTTTTACTATTTCTAGGTATTCTGAAGACTCCTGGTGATCCTGAGCCATGCATTTTCATGGTGGGCCTTGCATACTGCCTGAGGGCAACCAAGTAGGAAGTGAACCTTGTCTTAGCTCAGATTTTTAGGTGGAAGGACCATGCACAACACAGCAGACAGCTGAAAGGTGGAATGATGAAATGTCTGTGAAATTCTGGGACTCATCTCTTTCATTCTACTTCATAATGGGTGGTTCAGTGGTTGTATCAGTGAGCTTCCCCATTGCTGGCACACAGTATCTAACACAACTTAAAGAAGGAAAGATTTAGCTTCAAGGGGTTAAGTCCATGGCAGCCTAGTTTCGAGGCAGAATTATCATGGTGGGAGGGAATGGTGGAGCAAATATTCCCAATTCACAGCCACTGGGAAGCAGAACAGGGAAACAGCACCAGGGAGAGAAAGGGATTAAGGACTATATATAGTGCCCAAAATCATGTCTTTGTGATCTATTTAGACATACTCAGAAATGTGCTTTACTAATTTCCTTTTTTAAACCGACTAAATTGAGACAGTTAAGTTTAATTATCACGATGACTGTAAAATAATGGTATTTCTCCTACTTGCTCCCCTCCACCTCAATAAAATGATGTTCCTGAGAGAATTTTTAGGTTTGTGTGTTGGCTGCATGTGCTCTAGCACTTCTAGGTCTATACTGCGATAGTTTGAGAAATGGGACTTTGAAAGAATTCAAACCATCCTAATTGGACCATTGAAAGCATGCACTTCGAATTGCTCTATCCTGGAAAGTCATGTATCAGTTTTCAGAGACAGTGGGCTCTAAATTGTCTGCCATCTGATGGGACAGATGGTTCTGAGGCTTGGCTTCTCTCCCTTTCTCAGTTCTAGTCCATTTCTTCCCATCACTCAGGCTTCTATTGTGTAACCATCTGTTTTGTTTTTACTCTTCCCAATTTGATTTCTTTTCTGAAACATTTCTGTAAATGCATTTAGTGCTTTTCTGCTCTTCAAAGCCAGTGGGCTTTTTGTTGTGGTTACTGTTGGATATCAACTTTCTCCACCTGTCATCTTGAAAATCTATTACAATTTTTTTTGTCTCCTATCATTGGTGGCACTTTGCCATCATAGTAGATTTCTGTGACTCAGAAAGACAAGAGAAACCTAGAGCTTTGATTTTAAATCATTTAGAGACCAGAGAAAGGAAGTCAGTTGTTCAAAACTCTGATGAGTGTTTATTTTTCCACTGTGAGAACTCTTCTGGTTGAACTGGCATGCGACAGCAAATAAATGGTGACTTTTTGTTTGGTAGTAACTAAATTTTCTGAGTTGCAAAAATAGCCATAACTTGACTCAAATACAGATAGCCTTACCTGAAATTTATATATATTTCATAGAAATAATACCATTGTACCCTGTACTCTGCCAGTCCTATGTGGGTACTCTTAGAGGCAAACGTGGTTGAAAGGCAAATATTACTTTTGAGAGTTTCTTCATATTAATCATATTAATATTTCTTAATATGATGGACATTTTGCATCCCTAAAACACTCTAAATGTCTCTGCAGAGCTATGCAGTGTGATCAAAAACTATGATGAATGTTTAAATAAAACTAAAAATTATTATAATAAAAAATGCATTCTCGGGGCTGGGGTTTAGCTCAGCGGCATAAGCGCCTGCCTTGCAAGCAGGCAGTCGTGAGTTCGATCCTTGGTACCGATAAAAAGGAAAAAAAAAAAAATGCATTCTCACTAATGTCCCTTACAATCTTCCTCTTTGCTTTGACCAAACTTATCCCATTATTCTTACCACTTTCTGAAGCAGTTCTGGATGTCCTTTTCTGTGAGTATCTTTTCACAGATGCCTTAACATACCGAATTGATTAAAAAAGTTAATGGCAGTTTCTATCAATTAAAAACATTGATGTGTGTCTTCATCTAACTTGGTCACTGGATCTGGTGCAATAAAATACTTGCTCTTCCTTAAAGTCAAAATGAGCATGAAAGGTAAAGGTTTAGAATTGATTGAGAACATTCGGCCACAGTAGCACAGCAAAAAGGACTTCCAGAGCTGCTTCAGAGTGGCGAGAACCATAGGATAAGTGTGTTCAAAGAAAGGGGAAGACTTTGAGAGGGATTCATTGCAGTGTGTCTTTTACTCTAGTAAATTTTAAAATTTCAACCTTCACCATAAATTTAGATCACACCTCATATTTGGCTTTGGACCTTCTAGATCTTGATTTTTTTTTGTTTGTTTGTTTAGCTAATTCAGTTCTCCTATTACATTGTGACTTACTGAGGAAAGAGGTTCTTTCTGGGAAATTCTTGCAAGTACCTATTGAGTTGAATATGGCTATCGTAGTTATCTTATTGCTGAACTCAAGGGCGAGTCGTTCTGTCTGCAGTTTTGTTAAATGATTATACAGTAAAAATGCATGCAGTTGCAATGTTTTCAGCTGCAGTGGCATAGCAGATACTGTGGGCAGGGACATCCACCTTTCCCAGGTGCCACCTGGCTGGCTTCAGCTGCCATTTTTGGTGGCTGTCCTTGGCTACTGGAGGACTGTGTCCCCTATAGCATCCCCTGACCAGTGAGTGACAGGGATTGACACATAAATGCTCAGCTTCCTTCCCCTCATGCAGGGTATCTGTAGGGTTTTTGGGTGTCACTGTATGTGAATTCCCAGTTGTGACTGGGTTCCAGTTGTCCATAGAGGTTGGCTTGCTTAATAACACACCGTCTGATCTCGCTTCCCTTCCCTGCCTCCCCAGTTACTATTTCCCTTTACTGACTCTGAGTTAGCTAATCCAAGTCTCAACCAAAGCAAGTATTTATCTGTCAAAATTTATGACTTCACCAATTTCTCTATTTTTGGAAACATAATACAGATTGTAATGTATATAATTTAAAATGTGCCAAGAGCCACATTTAGAAGAGTGTAAAACATAGGCAAAAATAATTTTAAATTCATATGAAGTATGATCATTTTGACATATTATCAGTATGAAATGTATTAATGCGATGCTTTATTTTTTGTACTAAGTCTCTGAAACCTATTGTCTCTAAAATACCCTGACAGTGCAAAGCACAGTGATTGTAGTTTGTCCAGCCATTTGTGCTGTGCCCACATTGCTGTCATAATGAATGGAGGTGATCAATTCTGTTCTGTTGTTCCCCAAGCATCAAAATTGAAAGAACTTACTGCTTTTTAATTTGTGTTTTCCACTCTTAGCAAAATCTTCTTTGCTTTTTTCTGTTAAGCAGAATGAAATCTCCATGCATATCCTGACTGATGCACATGATTACCTTATTTAGTCTTTGTCCACATATTAAATCATGAATAGCCTCTGGAGACTATTAGGTAAGATGAGGGAAGTAAGAGGAGGCAAGACAGAGAAAAGGAGAAAACTATCAATATATGTTATGTGCATGTGTGATTATGCCATAATGAAACGCATTATTCTGTGTAATTAATATGCACTGATTTAAAAAAAGAATGAACCTTTGGCAACAAAATCTTTGGGCTTTATTGCTTCTTATGTGTTTGTGTGCAAAATGTAGACAGGATGTTTAGCCTCTCTGTGCTTGTGTGTTTTGCAGGCAGAGGGAACCAGACTTCAGCGTGAACTCCGAGGGTATTTAGCAGCAATCAAAGGTAATGTGTGTGTTGTTTACTGCTTGTTCCCAGGCACAGGTTGTTCTTGGAATTTGCAAGAGATGGGGTTGAGTGTTAATTCCAAAGCCATTTGGCTTTCTGGCAAGTAGGGTACTTGAACACAGGTGTTCACCCCACCCACCTCCAAATTCCCATTACAGTGACAATCAGGATTTAGGAGGATGAAATACATCTGGTTTCATGCTGGGGACTAAGAATAAATACCGCCCACATGGCACAGATTTCTAGGAAGGTTTGTTAGATAGAGTGAGCCTTAGACCTTGTGCAGGAAAAGCTGTTGCTGGCTTGCTTCCTGAGGGAGGACAATGTCCAAGGACACAACAAGCAAGACTCACTTGTAAGCCCCCTTGCTGCAGGGAAGAGGGGAGGAGACAGGGGCTGCAGAGGGTTCTGCTGGGCCTGCCTGTGACTTGCTCACAGTAGCTGTGTTTGCAGTCCTGTCCCTGTACGTCGCAGGGAACAGAAAGGGCCTGGCTTTGATTTATGGCCTTTGCCATGGAAAGCAAGGAATGAGGTCAGGGGAGGAGGGAGGAGGGCAGAGCTGGAAAGGTGTTCCACCTAAACCTGCTCTTCCTTGATCAGTGGATCACTGACCTCCCTGTCCCAGTCAGATCCAAGGGTACCTGCAAATCTGATGCTTCATCATTAGGCCGAATTTGTGATGCAGGGAAGGATGGATTCTCTTACAAGAGACTTGGGGAAAAATAGCCAAACAGAAAAAAGTGAGTCCCAAGGTCACACTTCATTCTCTTTTCCAATTCCAGGTATGTATAGTAGATACTTACACAGAAGAGCTCTCAGGGGCTGGGTAGTTAGCTCAGCGGCATAAGCACCTGCCTTGTGAGCAGGTGGTCGTGAGTTTGATCCCCGGCACCAGTAAAAAAAAAAAAATCAGCATGTAGAAAGAGTTCTCACTGTAAAGCACAGTAAGTAGATTTAGTCTCTAGTCTGAATAGACAGGATCTTTACAGGGTATCCCCAAAGGCAAAACCAGAAAGACTGAGGAATTTAGCTTCATAAAAATGCAAAACTTGCAGCCATGTTTGAAATTACCAACATGTTAGCAATATATATAAGAAAATTAAGTCAGTACATAAAGAGCCTCGTAAGTAAATTAAGTGGAGGTCAGTTTATTTATTTATTTTTTTTATCGGTACCGGGGATCGAACTCACGACCACCTGCTAGCAAGGCAGGTGCTTATGCCGCTGAGCTAAATCCCCAGCCCCATGGAGGTCAGTTTAAATGAAAAATAGGCAGGCCTTGGGGATCTGTGTGGCGTGGTGGTAGAAAAATCACCCCATGTGTAAGGCCCGAGTTTGATTCCAGCTTTTCAAAAAGGAAAAACAGAACATTTGCAAAGAAAAATAACTGAAAAGAATTACACATGAGTCATCAATATGAAAAAAATTAATAGATGATCCTCTGGCATTATCAAAGGCTTTTATAGAAAGTCAGAAGTAAGATGCAGGATTTTTTTTTTTTCCACTTAATGGGCAAAGGCATCCTTTTTAAAGTATTGTAAAACTCAGCATTGATGAGTCAGTGGGGGCAGAGCCCTCCTGTGCCTCCTTGCTGGAACCGCCTCCTAGAGAGCCGTGTGGCAAAGATCTTGAATGGACTTTGATTGTTTGGGTTTTTTGGCAAGTTACCTGACATGGTGATTCCATTGCTAAGAATGTATTCTTATAGTTAAATGTGAATGTGTAAAATGGACTATAAACATATTGATAAATAATGCAATAGTTTTAGTGAACAATTAGTTATATAATAAAATTAGTGAGCTGATATTGCAGCAAAATGTGTGTAAGCTTTTCATGGGCCACGCATGTCATTTTAATCCTTCTGACAGCTACATGAAGCAGTCACATTTATTTTTTTCTCTCTCTGTCATCTTCTTCCTTCTTTTTTTCCTCTCTCTGCCTCTTCCATCATTCTTCTCCCCTTTTTCTTGCCTCCTCTCCCTCCTCCTCCTCCATTTCTCCTACCTCTCCCCTTCCCTCTTCTTTTTCTCCTCCTCCTCCTCCTGAGACGGTATCTCACAATGTTGCCCAGGATACTCTCAAGATCATGAACTCACATAATCATCTTGCCTCCACCTCTGAAGTAACTATACATTATGTTCATTGCGTAGATTTTAAAAAAAAGAAGCACAGAAGAGTTAAGTAACCCGCTCTAGTAAATCCATTCTAGGAAACAATAGGGCCAGGATAATACTGTGTTCTTTCCCCTGACCTCTTGCACACATGCCTTTGAACTCCTGAGCCAATAGTAGAGCCTTGGTCTCACAAATTCTATTTCATCTACAAGGGAATAATGGCAACCTACTACTACTGTTTTTCATTGTGCACTTACTATGTGCCAGGCCATGTGCTAAGCATTTTTTGACCCGTTGCTTCTTTGTAAGCTCCCAGCACAGCTATATGATAAATGTCATTTGCTTTATTTTACATTTGGGAAGAAGGAAGGCTCAGATAATTTAATTCCACAACTTCATAGAGTTCATAATTAACTGCTCCCAAACTAACCTCAAGTATTTATAACAGTTTGGCCAGAAAATAGAAACCACTCTAAGTGTTACTGATTTAAGATATGAATGTAAGCACCTGATATATTATTTCAAGCACAGGATATTTCTCTGTTTTTGTTGAATGAACTAGTGAACTCTCTCTCTTTCCCAAGTCTGTATTATTTGATCTATTTTACTACTTAGTGTGGAAGTTCTTTCCTTAATATGGTCTGGAAGGAGACTGCATTGGGAATAAGGCATTAGCTCCAGAGAAAAGCAAGAGGCAGCCAGTAGTGTGAGCCCTGGGGAGCCTGTGGACTGACAGACAGGATTTCCCTTGGCTTCCTGGCTGCAGGGCACTTCTGTATTCTCAGAGTCTCAAAAACACTGAGTAGTGTTCTTGGAATGTGTTGGGGTTTTGGAAACACATTTGAAGACAGTAGGTGTGCATTAAGTTGGTCTTAATTTGCATTTTCAAAGTGCTTTCATGGTTTTGTTTTCCCTAAGAAGCCAGTGTGACTGGGATCACTGTGATGTGGGCATTTTGGCAGTAATGTGGAGGACCAAGCTCTGCCCTTGGAGAGTTCTGGGTGGAGAGTACTTTGAGAAAAGCAGTGAGCCTCTCTTGCTGCTCTGGGTTTCCCATTCACCAAGTGCTCTGCTTCTCCCCAGCCCCAAGCCCTGGCACTGGGAGTCTATGCAACTGGGCTAAATGAGTCTTCTCTACCCCTGCCCTTCTTTGCCCTTGAAGACTGAACCTACTACATTTGCACTGAGCTCCATCTCCAGCGCTTTTTTACCTTTACTTTGATATAAGGTCTCCCTAAGCCATTGGAGTCCTCAAGCTGAGCTCCAGTTTATAATCCTCTAGCCTCTCAGAGTGCTGGGATTACTGGTGTATGCTATCACACCTGGCTTCTGTTCTTATTACCATTGATCTCTAGGTGGCATTCACCTTGTTTAGGTCTTTATCATTCAGTATAATTCATAGGCTACAGTTATTAACTGACATTATTTTTTAAAGTTAACTAATGTTATTTTTAACTACATAAGGCGCAGGGGACTGGGTCATGAATGGTCCTCCCCAGGAACCTATTATTCTTCAGTGGACACCAGAAGAAGGCATAATGGTGCTCGATCAAGTGCTTAGGTGCCCTGTAGAAAGGTGGACATGTCAGGTTGGAGGGAAAAACAAAGAGCCAGGAGGCAGGAAGGAGTCTGTGTTCTTTCAGGAATAAATACAAGAATGAGATGAAAGCAGAAAACACAGCTGCATGAGACTTAGAAAGGGTGACAACATTTGTATAACGAAGTGCTTTGCATATTGTATTAATCTGGGGTTTCATTCTAAGATGGAAAAGAGAGTCACTAAGTTATTAGAGGCAAGTGAATAAGTCACATTTCAGAAAAGCATCCTAGAAAGAGGAGCTAATGAGATTGTGAGGGGTTCAAGCTACAGAAAGTGAAACTGCAAGATACTTTATTTTATCATAGGTCCATTTTAATAATCACTAATATTTATTGAATATTAATGTGCCAGACACTGAGATAAAGTTTTCATATGCCTCATTTTGTATAATTCGTTATACATTCCTCTGGCAAGGACTTATTCTTTATTGGTATTTTACAATGTGGAAAATGGTAGTTCAGGATGATTAATAATTTGCCTAAGAATTACACAGATGGCTACAATGGAACCACGATTTTAACAAAGGCTGGTTGATTGCAAACAATAGTCTTAATTCTTATGCCACACTGACTCCCAAAGTATTTCTCCTAGTCATGGCTGACATTTGAATGCTTGCTGTGTGCCAAGTGCTTTGCTAAACTGTTTCCATGGATTAGAGTTCATCTAATCCAAATAATACTGGACAAGCAGGTAATGCAGGCCAGTGGCAGTGGGAGGAAAGGAAGGGCTGGATTCAAACATCAGGCAGAATTTGTGTGTCTTGGTGACACACTCATTAGGAGAAAATGAACTTACTATGATTTCCAGTTTTCCAACTGGGACCATGGAATGTCATTCATGGAGATTAGGAAAAAGAGTAAAAACAGCTTTGGACAGAAAAGTTAGGGGTTTGAGGCAGTAGAGTTTGAGGTCTTGGTTAGACCTCCAAGTGGTGATGTCCAGGAAGAATTCAGAATTAAAGGGTCATTCATTGTACATGGGTGATAGTGAAGCCAGACACAGGGATAATGCACACAGAAGCTCTTTCTCTAAGTGAGGCATGGCCCAAGGGAAACAATTAATATATGCTAGTTGCAGTTGGCTTGTAAGGAGCAGGGTTCCTGTTCTTGTAGCAACATCTACTTATTTTTTTTTTCCCATCCTTTCTCCTGTACTGGTTTTCCTACTTGGCACGTAGGAGAAAGAATTTTCTTAGAGGCAGATACTGGCTTCTTAAGCAGCTATCTTTTAAACAGTGAGGCAAAGCTGCTAGATACTCGCCATATTTTAGACATTCCTTTCATGGTTTATCACTTGCTGCTGGTTATTGTCATAACATATTTGAACTGATGTTATTTTTAACCAAAGCATCTTTCCTCAGGCTATGTGAGCTGCATACTCATGAAGTTGTGCAATCTATGCAACCAGTCTCACAGAATGAAAATAGAAGAGCAGAAATCTGGCTAAAATTGGAAACAGAGGATGTTACACGAAAGGCCTTGGAGAAGGTCCAAAATTTTGAAGAGAGGGAAAAAGTTCCCATTCAACAAAATTATAATAACTCTTCTACATAGGATGCTGCTCCATTGTTTTGCAGTTCTGGAAATCACTAATCTTTTAAGAAAATATTAGGTATTAAATATTGTTAAATGCCAGAAGTAGCATCTACTCTGCTTTAATATTGCCAGACTATTTTGAAAGACATTTGGAGTTTTATATCTTAGCTTTTTGTGTGTGTGTTCTTTCAATGCAATAAATTCTTGTCCTAGCTTATTTTGTGCTTCTGGATAGTTTATAAAGAACAGAAATGTATTTGGCTTCTGTTGTGGAGGCTGGCATTCCAAGAGCAAAGCCTGGTGACTGTATCATAACTTTGATGGGAAGCATCGCTTGGGCATGACACAATGAGAAATGGGTGAACTCATCCTCACAACATAATTCCATATATGGGGACAGCACCTGCTAATCAGCCCTTAAGATTCTCAGCTCTGAGCAGTGATCTACATGAGCTTTGGGAGATACATTCAAACCACTGCAGTTCTCAATTGCTGACTGTTTTTATACCTGTTGGGAGAAAAGCTTGTGCTCACCTTTTGTAGTAGTTCAGCTTAATTGTGTCACTTTGATTGACCATGAGATTACTAAAGCACACTCCTGGCTATGTCTAGATGAGTCTTGGAGGTGTGTTTTTGGACCCTGGGCCCTTTCCTCTGTGGGATATTCCTCTGCTCACTTTCCCCCATGAACTAAGCAGCTTTCCTCCACCATGCCCTTCCGCAATGAAGTTCCTGCCTTGGAACCAGCCAGTCATGACCTGAATCTCCTGAAACCATGAGCCAATGTAAACTTCTCTTTTAAATTGTGCATGTTAGATATTGTGTCCCAGCAATAACAAAGCTGATTAGTATACCTGTGTATCTCTCAAAGTGCTTCTTAAGGAATAGATGGCCTAGAAATAATTTCTATGTCAAAATGACTTCTTTCCAACTTATCCATCACTTTTCCATATAACTAGTGATTATTTTTGATTGCTAATGGACATTCACTGCAACGCTGTGCTTTTAGCCCCAATGACTAAGTCTTAGATAATTTTATTTTAAGCTTCCATCAGTGTTATCATTTACCACAAAGGTCATTTGTTCTACAAAGCCATCATTTCTATTTTTTGGTCCTTAGACATTGTTAAAAATCTATCCACATAGCTATTTATAATTTCCATTAGACTCAAGGCAAAGATTTGAAGAAAGCTTCAGAAGCCTCTTGGCATCAGAATTATAGGAAGCCATCTGCTAGTGCCTAGTTTTTGGCATGGATTTGAGGGGTACACCTTGTGGTATAGATCTGTTTATACCTGGGTGGAGGTGAATGTGATATGTGGGGTAACGTAGCTGTCACCTCGGTGGTGACCCCATCATAAATAAGAATGTATCTTCACCTGCTTGTATGCTCAGCGCTGGGGACAGATGCAGGTTTTTGCACCATGTTTAGCTGTCTCCACCTCAGCATCACTGTTTCATCAGTGATTTGGCTCTGCTTTTTCTGACCTTGACTTAGAGATCCAAGTCATTTCAACCATATGAACTATACAACTTATTGCCAGGGGCATCCTTCACCAACTCAGTGATGTGCTCTTCAGGGAGAGAACGGGACAGGCTTTCAGATCCCCTATGCCTTTGAGATGCTGTCAGCCTTCTGGAGTACAAGAACCCAAAATGTATCTGTAATTATTGAGACAATGAAGGATGATATCTATGACTAGAGAGTGCAAAAGTATGGTAAGATATCCTAAATCGCATGGCGAATGTTACACACATTCTTGAAGAATGTCCTTCTGTCATTTCTAATTTCCCATTAGTCTACTTGTTAAAGTCAGAGTTGACTGCTGTCTGTACAACAAGCACACCCTTCAAGTTTTAGTTTAAGAAATGGCTTCTATCTTTGAACCACTGGCATTAAGTTTTATCTTCTGGCCCTTTGTCTAGCCCCTTTGAAGGTCCGATGAAGGTCCTAGTGGCAGAGGCAAAGCACCAACTTGGCCAGGTCCCATCTTCCAGCTAATAGTGAACATCAAGTGTTAGCAAAGTACTTCTCCAAGCTATTCTTTGCCTTTGTTCTGGGTTCAGCCATACACTATCTCCATTACAACCCAGCACTTATACTTTAACTTTCTTGCTTTTAGAGGATGGGGAGCAGAGCCTGGAAAGGACAATGTTGATTTTTTTTAACCAGAAACTTCATGTCTTTATTCTTACTAATAGCTGTATTTTTGCTACATACTGAATATGCCTTTAATGAAAATTTAAGACCCCTGATGCTAAGAATCCTAAACTTTCTAATAGTGTTAATTTAAATTATATTAATAACCTTTAAAGCTTAAGCTTTTATTATTTTTCTTTTTAGTAAATTTAGGACACTTAAACCTTAATTATTTTTAACCACTTTTAGCATTTTTACTATTTCAAACTACAAAACCAACTTTTATATCCTAAAATCCCATTTATTTTCTAATTGCTTGTCAAATGGTTTTGCTTCTTGTCTTTGAAGTTATTTAGGATAAATATTATTTCAGAACTCAGCAGTTTTATGTTCCAGTACTGTTCAGTGCACTGATGGTTGTACACCACTTGGCAAAATGATAGCACACAGAGCAGGGTGCGTTACTATTGTACATTTCAAAATAGGACACAGTGTTGATTTTCCCCCAGACCTAGTATCCGTCATCCTCATGTAAATGATAGAAAATATGCAATGTGAAAAGATGAACCCTAAAGACCCTCTGGGAAAGTCATGACTGCAGATGTATGCGAAAGTTATGCCTTTACAACTTTTCCTTAAATATATAGCAAGTACTCAAGATGTTGAACTTTGAAAAGCAGAGCAAGGGAGAAGAGCATTCTCACCCACTTTCCTGTAACAGGAGTTGTTTTTCTCTAACATCAGGCATGCAAGAGGCCTCCATGAAACTCACCGAGTCCCTGCATGAAGTCTATGAACCAGACTGGTACGGACGGGAAGATGTAAAAATGGTCGGCGAGGTAAGAGTAGATAGGGCAGGACACAGGAAGCCTGGCATGGCTTCTCAGTGGCTCCCGCTGATCCTGCTCTGTTAGTCTTATTCTCCGATTACCCTCTTCCCACTTCGCAAGGGGAGACCATGTGCCCGTCAGGTAGCATGAATTTCTGCTGCCTGGAGCATCCCAAACTCAGTTAGAGGTGAAGGTGATTATAGCACTTGCCTAGCAAGCTGTGGGTGGCTGTGGGTTAAAGATTTTCTTCTATGTAATGATAACAGTCTTCTGTCCTTCACTGCAGACCTTAGCATCCCATTTCTAGTGGAACTGGAGCATGGTGTGATTATAATTTGTAATGTCTGTCTTCACCCCAACCCCCTTTTAACCAGCTCTTCCTGAAGCTGGGCCAAGAGCTCAAAAGAGCACCTGAACCCCTATGAGTTTAGTTTGTCCATCTGCCTGCTAGAAGGAGTTTCAGTTCAGGGGAGCTTTGGCTTTAGACATGTCCTAAGACCTGAAATCTGACTTCTAACTGAACGCTACTCAGCTGGCCGGAAGGCAGCAAATGACATCACTATTTTGTGGAAAGCAGAATGCAACAGATGAGAGTAGCTCTGTATGACTCTGGACTATTTAATCTGCCTGGTCTTCAGTCTCCTCATCTATAAAATGTGAAAAGTAATCGTACCCACTGATAACACATAGGAAGCTTCTATGTCCATACCACCCAATTGGGGCTTAGTGCACTAATTATGATTCCTGATATGACAAAGTCTGTCTCCTCCAAATACTGTGTTAAAAGGAAGAACAGTCATTTGTCCTGACCTCTACCTGTGGTGAGGCCCTGGAGCTCTGGTATAGAAGGTCTGAAGTATTTGTGGCCACCTGTGCTTGAGGGAAGGTATAGTGTGATAAGCCGAACATCTGTGCAGCTTTGGAAAAGTGGGTTAATTGTGGAGTCCCTGGATGTTCCATGACAGTTTTGACATCCTAACATTAACCTTCATAATCTTATTAGAACCAAAAAAAAATTCAGAGATCTATTTATGAGAAAATCTCCTGTTGGCCCTATTACATCATTCAAAAGCTTTTAGGATATAGATTTTCCAAAAACATTGTTTTGCACATCATTTTCAGATGCAGTTATAAAGAAATTGCATCTTCTTATATTTTCTTACACTAGAAAGACACTGTGTTTCAACACAATACTGTTAGGTTCTTAATTCACTTTGATAGACTATTTAACATTAAGCATAAAAGAGGATTTTTAAGGGAACAATAAAAACTTCTATTCATATCTTTTTAGAATACTACATCATTACAATATATATATATATATATATATATATATATATATATATATATGGCAAAAACCACCACTGAGTTTGAATTCTTAAAGGAATGGCTGTTGTCCCACCTTAGTCTTTGTGGCTGCCAGAATTTTGGGATCCCCAGCAGAGTTGCAAATGTGGGCTCTTTTGATGATGAAGGAACTGAACACTGTGTTTAGGGGTCTACTCACATCAGAAGGTGAGCCTTTTGTATAGTGCATTTACATTTTTCCATTTGCATAAAATTCTTGAATTGGGGATTATAACTAAATTAGAATTAGTTTTTGAAGTATGAAAAAGAATTGAAAACAGTATTTTTTAACAAGGTAGATATTTATCTCTCCCATAAAGGAATATAGATGTCAGAAGCTTGGGTACAGTACACAAATATAGAAGGCTCATCTTTGCTGCTCTTAGCATGTTTCTGTCAGGTACAAGAGGACTCACTGAGCACTGGCCATTAGCTCTCATTTCTGCATCCCACTCATCAGAAGGGATAAAGTCTGGCAGATGGATACCTCCTTTCTGTTTTGAAACTTCCTGATATTGTGCCTCATTGGTCAGAACCTGGTCACATGACTATACCTAGATGCAAAGGAATCTGGGAAATAGAATCTCTATCTTAGCCATGTGATGAGCTAACACTGAAGGATCAAATACTAAAAGGAAATTAAAGGGTAGAGACTAGGTCACATGCAGACAGGCGACCCCAAAAGCAGTAATGAGAGAAATACAATGATGCATCTGCTATGCTTCTGGGATTCTGTGAGTCACGTTACCTTTTACAAATGTTTAACTGGGGAAATTGTGATTTAGGAAGGTTCATTTTTCTGAAGTTTCATCCCTAGTAAGGCATTTTGGTGTAGTATACAGGTCGAGGGCTATGAATTCAAGGTGACAAATGTGGATTGAAACATGGATCTCTCATTTATGAACTGTGTGACCTTGACCAACATGTGTGACATCTTTGGATTTCAGTAATCTCTTCTGTATCTATTGGAAATAACAAGTCTTTTCTGATTAAAAAAAAAAAGCTATTGTGAGAATTAACTGTTCTTCACCACACACATATTTAATCCACTGTCTGACACAGTGATAGTACTATTTACTGAGTGATTATTACTGATGAAGTTTTACTTATGAAATTGGTATGGGAAACCATAAAGCCCTTCCCAATGTGATTGTACATTTTCTACTCTGAAGGCATCAGCAGTGGTTTGTTGTTTGTTTCTATCTGGGTTGATCTCTTATTTGTTGACTTACAGTGCTTCAGATGACCAAATTGTCTCTGTGGGATTATTGTAAGTCTTCTAGCTCCAAAGTCTACCTATTGGGATTCTGGGAGTTTTTGAAACTTCTCCTTGAGAATCAAATGCATTTTTAAATGAAGTGATTTCTTAGCCCATACTGTTATTTACCATTGTGGCCAAATTGTCTTTAAATTTGATTTTATTCTTAAGTAATTCAGATTTTTTCCATCATCTAATAGCTTGGAAAGTATTACTCATTTAATTTTATAGTTTCAGGTGGTTTGGTTTAGAAATTTAGTGGAATTCATCCAATTAAAATAATTCAGCAGGTGTCTCTCTCGTTTCTTTTAGAAATGTGATGTGCTATGGGAAGACTTCCATCAAAAACTAGTGGATGGGTCCTTGCTGACACTGGACACATATCTGGGCCAATTTCCTGACATCAAGGTATTTTAGTCTGTGTGTGTAAAAGGAAGAATAGAATGGTCTCATGTAGTTACAGGAACAGGAAGATGAGGAGAATTAAAAGTTCTTAAAATAACACCAGAAACAGTTGGTTACTTTTCATTTATTTAAGTGTGAGAGTTTTATTCTGTTTCTCTCAGTCTGAAATGAAATCTAGTCACAGAAATCACCATATCCCCTTTCATGAACTGCTTCGACTTTTTCTTCTTTCTAGAAGTCTGTAGCTACAAAGTCATAAATCAGAGGTACCAAAACATTTCATTATTCTTTATAGCGAAACCTTTTATTACATCGTGGAAAACAAAGACTTTCATTAGAATAAACACTAATGACACTAATGAGAAAGACTTCCCTGTAAAAGTGAAAAGAAACTGACTTGTCCTTGTTTATTTTTCATTTTATATGTAGTCATAGTGGAAATAGCTTTTATCCTCTCCTTGAAATTTTCAGTCTCAAATTGCTATATTAAGATGTAAGTCTTTCAAATACATTTGACTGTGGACCAGAAACTATCTTCTTGAAAGCATGTATCTTATTTGACAGTTGGATCCACTGCAAGGGTCAATTTAGAAATGAAAGGAGTGGCTACTCTGGATTTGGGATTGACACTGGAGGTAAAGATGGTCTTTAAACAAACATTGAGGATTTATACAACGACTGGGTGGCATGCACACCCCCTCCCCCTTTGTTTTCCCTGGTTAAGTGGAGCACCAGGAAAGGCAGCCATGGAGTGAGGAATCCATGGCCAATTCCCTATGGCATCTGCATTAGGGTTCTGCTGATGCATCTCCTATGTTTTCCTGCCTTCTTTGTCCCCATGGCTAAAACACCAGAACATTTTTCCAGCGGTGTGCAGTGGTCTTGGCTATGACACAGTGAAGCTTCTTAGCCAGAACAATACTATGGCAACGACTTTAGTTTCTATGCTTCCCACAGTTTATGCCTTTAGATGGTTGGACAACATGCAAAGAGCATTTTGGGGTAAGAGAGGCACTGGAAAAGAACCTGAATGGAGCAGGCTAGATATATCCAGATGAGGATTGTCAATATAAAGAGCACAAGCAGAAAGTGCTTTCCATGTTTTTTTCCTTGTCTTTGACTCTCTGACGTGTTACTTGCACTTTAGATGAAGCATTCACCTCTCTCAGTGTTTATAGACTGGCGCTGTCCAGAGGACCCTCACTTATCAGTCCAGCCATAAATGTTTGGAGGCCTCTCAAACTGTCTGGTAGTGCAGTATGCTTTGTTTTTTCTTAGCAATCCCTCTCTATATCTAGAGAAAGTGCTCGGAGATAAGCATGACTGAAGCCAGTTTCACAGGCAGACCCCTCAAGAGTTGGGTCATTGGATACTTGTTCAGCTTCTTCTTTGCCCAGGAAGAATCTGAGATCTTGCACTGGGCTTGGGGAAGCAGTTGTGTGGTAGATCCACCTGCCTTCTCATTTCTCACTGGCCTCAAGGCCTGTGAGTGTTGAAGCCAGTCTTTTGGGAAGATCCTGGACACGTTGGAGTGTTGGATAGGTGGCCCAGATCTTTCTCTCCCCAGGTAAAAACTGGGAACTGGTGATTTGTTACCAATTAACTCCAGGCTGAGCCTGAGGGAAAGAGGAGTTTCAAGTGACTGTGTACTAGTTGAGTTCCACTGCTTTGATTTGTATTTGCTTAAGGTTTCAGGAGCTTTTTAACTACTTTCTGGGGTGCTTACAAAGGAAATTGGTTTGTGTGATGCTAATAAATTGGTATATCCACAAGAGAAAGAAAAACCAGGATTTCCTGTTCTTCTGACTTATTAGGAATTGATTTTTATGAAGATCAAATTAACCTTTGTTATATGGGAATTTGATCTCCATAAAAATCAATACCTCATAAGTCAGAAGAGGATAAGGAAAGAACGTATCTTCTTATCAGAAACTTCCAAGACAGCTTGTAATTTGTTTAATTATTTATCTGTACTCATAATGTGACTCTAGCTTAGCAACAAAAAGCTGTAATTGACTTGGAAGTTATTGAGTTTCACAGGAATGAAAGCTTAGGATCACCAGAAAATCAGTTCCGATGGAACTGCTTAGAAACAATTATCTAAAAATTGGCTACACTCTCTAGGAGAGTATTATTTTAGATGACAAACACACACTAAAGCACCTGTGCTAAAATATAAGAGATCAAAGCAAAATCATGATAGATGATACTGGCTTGTCTTTTCAGTTTATTCCATGTCAAAAAGATAAAATACTTACTGTAACTTTTTCTTTTGTGTTTCTTTTCTTGGGATCTATGGTTGAGTTCACACCCAAAGATGATCCTTAAGTTACTGAACCACCTACGGATTTATGAATAATGTCATCTAAGACTTTTGCTAGATACTCTGAATATAAATAAATCCAAATCAAAGTTTTACATGCATCATGGAAAGAGGCTGAATGAGCCTTGCACCCTCTCTGTCTGTCTGTCTCTGTCTCTTGATACATTTAGAAGATTGGAGCATACTAAGAGGTTTTCATACTAAAACAGAATACAGCAACATGTAACTTGAATAAGAGACTATTTGGAATTGGACAGTGGACACATAGCCATACTTAATATTGAAAAGATATTTCATGCGTGAAAATGAATTTAAGTTATTCTATATTTTTAACTCAATGAATGGAAGTTAAAAGTAGATAGAGACTTTGTCACTTCATAAAATGAATGCTGAGTTGTTATGCAATCATGAGTTTTTGATAGAAAGAAAGACTATGATTAAAAATACTGAGTGGAGAATCTTCCAAGCTTGGAGCTTAACTGAGGTCCTTAATTCTCATGAAAATCATTGAGCCTAGTACAATTAAAACTTCAGATTTCCAAATATTTACTGCAGCCCATCCGTGAGGGGTATGAAGTACCATTCAGAAACAGATGATGTTTGATTTTTCCAGCTGTGATTGGCAGGGCGCCCTGTGTTATGGTCCCCATTATGTGTCGTTGATATCTGAAATTAATGTTATAATAAGAGCTTGCTTGTCACTAACCTAACCAGACTTACAGCTGTGCACAGTTTTTCTAAAATGTAGTTTAGATTTTATCTTGGCAGTCATGCATGAGCAGCTAAGCATAGAGTTACTACATGTGCCAAAATGAATTCCAATTTGGTGCTATTACTGAGGGCTTGTTTTAAAAGTGTGATATATTATTTCCAGTGCAAAATGGGAAATCCCAGGAAGCTGTGATTAATTTTATTATTTACAGTAAGCTTCATATTAAGTTTACTTATTATTTAATTAAATTTGTTATTAAATTAACTGTATCCTATTTTATTAAACATTGAATGTGCCTTAATACTACTCTTATTTGTAAGATTTAGAGTTTCGTTTTCCTCCCAAGTTTCCCAAATAATCTATGCGAACAGAAACAAGATTGATTTATTTTTCCAACACAAAAATGTGTGTGTCAAAATGAGTGATGGTCTTTGAAATAGTCTCCTCTACTCTGGGAAGCGAGCTGCTGTAATTGACTTGCCAGTTATACAAGAAAATGAGTCACATTTCTTACTTCACTTCTTGTTTCTGAACAAAACTAAAATTACCCAGTATACTCTCCCATCTCAGTCCCTGACTTATAAGTAATTGAATTTCAACACTTTTCAAAACCCAAATCCATCTTTCAAGGGCCACAACTCACTACTTGGAAGATAACAAAGATGGCCCAGGCCAAGTCCATAAAGAATGGTTTTGTAAGAGTTCACATCTAGATACACAGGCCACTGCTTCAAGGGACAGGGCTCCTTTGAAGGTGACAGTTAGATGTTGGTTGAAAATAGTGAATTTTATCACTTATGGACACACATGCCCACCCTGCATTATGAAAAGGCTTCCTTCTCCCCTGCCTGGGCTTGCACACTATATCTCTTTGAATGACTCTGTGTTTAATGAAGTTTTTCCCCACCAAGGCCAGTTGGAAAGGGGAGGTGCCAAGAAAAGTGAGTGGAATAGCTCAGGGGAAGTAACAGCCCCTACCCACCTGTCACCATCCCAGAGAGGGCCGTGGGAATAGCGCTGAGTGGATGTGGTCGCTGACCAGCCAGAGGCTGTCAAAGGCAGAAGGACTATTGGAAGGAGCCCTGGGAAGATAGGGTGAGGCAGTTGAGGGCCAAAGATGTGGAGCAGAAGAAGGCACTTTCTGGCCCTTGCTAATCCTGCACTCACAGGATTAGACCCTGGGGGTGAGTGGTCTTGCATTTTCTATACTGTCTCACTTATCTCCCATTCCTCCCAGAGCTGTTCAGTGGGGCTGGTTTCTATCCAGTTCATCCTTTGCCAGGGTCTTACTGAGCAATACTGGGCAAATTACATTTAATCTTAAGTAACTCCAGATTCCCTGCACATAAATTGTTAATAGTACCTGCCACACCTCTGCTGTAGATTGCTGTGAGGATCCATGGATATGGCTATGTTTTGTCTGCAATGTATGTTTGTATTATTAGTGTTTTATTCTTTTTCCTACCGTTTCAAATTTAATAGTCTTTTGGGGTTTTGTTTGTTTGTTTGTTTGTTTTGGTTTATTTTTGGTTTTTTGGTACTGTGGATCAAACCTACAACTTCGCACTTGCCAGGCAGGCACTTACACCGCTGAGCTAAATCCTCTGCTCAAATTTAATAGTTTTTAAAGTGTTTCTTCTTGCAGTGGTTCTCATGATTAGACTAGCTGGACCTAAACTAGACTACTATGAATATTTTTATAAAGTAAAGATGTCTAAAACTTGTCTCTGAGTAATTTACTCATAATCTGGACATGGAGCTCAAATCAGTATATCTTATACTACTTGCTGATTGGTTATACCACTTTCTTTAACGTAATTTTAGCATATATTCTATTACTTACAATACACATCTTCAAATTAGCATGTCTAGCCTCAAAAAATTAATGCCATTTTAAACATTGTCTAAGAACCTTATAACAGGGTGTTCTAGGTCTGCTATGATTTGTATACATTTCCATTGATGTATGCCCTAAGCCCTGCTGTATACTATTTCTGTTTCTTGCTCTAAATGATCAATAATCTTTTGAAACAATTTAAAATAAGAAAGAACAATTTTATATATTTATTGATTTCTAGTCTTTATTGCATTCCATTTTGTAGCTCTACTTGGTATTAAAAGTTTAAACTGGCAATGAATGCCCTTAGCTTTTTGTCTGAAGAAGAGTATTTATTTCACCTTTATTTTTGGAAGGTATTTTCACAAGGTGTAGAACTTTGAGTTGGCAGATTTTTTTTAAGTTACTTTAAAGATATCTTTCTGTTATGCTCTACTTGTACAATTTCTGAGGACTAGCCTGCTATAATTCTTACTTTTATATATTATGTTTTTATTTATTCTTGATTTTAGATAGTTTGGCTATGCTAGCTCTAGATATGTATTGTTTGTTATTTTTGCTTTATGGGATTTTTTGAGTTCCTTGAACATATGCTTTGATGTCTTCATCAGTTTATAAAATTCTTAGGCATTAATTTTTCAGATATTTCTTTTGACCCATCCTCTTCCCTCTTTTGGGGACTTCAGTCATGTTATTTTAAACTATTGTCATTGCATTATATGTTTTTTACTCTTGATTCTCTCTGTTTTTCCAGCCTTTTCTACTGTTTGTGTTTGATGGAAATAATTTACCTTGTCCAATCTTCAAGCGCACAGTTTTTTCCTTAGCATGTTTTACATCTAAGAATGAGCCCTGTGCTAACCACCTCCATTGCTGGAGCAAAATACTTGTCACAGACAATTTAAAAGAGGTTTTGGTTCATGATTTCAGAGTTTTCAGTGCATGGTGGGCTGGTTCCATTGCCATAGGTCTGAGGTAAGGAAGACAATCATGGTGGGAAGGTGTGACTTGTGCTAATCCTGACTTCATGGAGGTGGAGAAACAGAGCAAGAATGAGAGAGCTAGAAAAACATGATGCCTTTGAACTCCTACCCCCAAGTAGGCCTTGCCTTCAAGTAGCCCAAGTAGCTATGACCTCTTCAGTGGGTTAATCCATTGTGAAATTAGAAACCTCACAATCCAGTCACCTTCCTAGATGCCTCTTAACCCAGTCAAGTCAGCAACCAGGATTATGTGTCATAGGTCCATCCCAAATTTTTACTCTGATATCATTTTTTAAAATTCCATTATTTCTATTTGATACTAAAATTTCCATGTCTCTGCTGAAGTTTCCCACTCATTTTATATATGCTAAATATTTTAACATAATAGGAGTCATTTTATTTTACTGTTTTATGGGATTACGGGGATGTGCCACCACACCTTGAAATATGTGCAATTTTTAAATTTTATTTTCTTTTTTAGAGTATGTAAATGATTATATTCATTGTGGGGAGCTGGCACATGGACATTTAAAATTTCTATTTGTTAATTTCAACATGTGAGTCATGCCTGAGTCTGATTCTGTTGATTGCTTTTTTCTTTACTCCCACCATGGGTTATTTTTCTTTTGTTTTTGTACTTTTTGCCACTTTTGATTGAATGCCAGGCATCGTATATAGGACAGTGAAGACTATGGTAGTATTTTATATCTGGGAATAGGCAAGTTTGTTTCTCGGGTTATTGATGTATGAACAGGAAACCATATGATCAGGCTGTGAGCTGGTTTGGTTTTCATTGTTGCTGGCATTACTTTCAAACTTTCTACCATTGGGCTGCTGCTGTTCTCCTTATATTCTAACACCTGTAGAAAATGATCCACAGTGATGAGCAGGCCTTCGTGTCCACTCCCTGACAGCTACAGATAACTTTGCTTTTCCCTGCATGGCAAGGGAGTACCTCACACTTTTCATCACCTCCCATGGAGCCCATGGGAAAGACCAGATTCATGAGAGCTGTCTGCTACTCTAGGAAAAGGAAGTAAATCTGTTTTATAGAACTTCCTTTAGTGTATTTTTAAAATTAGAAAACCAAATTTAATGTAGTGTCCCAATATGTTTAAACTGGAACATTGTAAGATTCAAAGTAGAGGCTGATGGAAAGTACAGATTTATTCACTGTCCTAAACCGTCTCTGGAATTTTTCTGATCTCAGACTACAACCTCTGCCTTTAACTCTGTGATTAACTGGCCTAATTATTGTCAGAGGAAAGACATTTCTCTCATGGTTTCCACACAGAGTATGGGATATGGTAGTCTGTTTTTTTTTTTTTTTTTTTTTTTTTTTTTACCAGGGATCTTTTACCAACAAATTCCGGCTGCCATCCATCTCTGGTTAAAAACCTCAAATGTCCTGGACAAGGAATGCATTTCGACATCTGTCAGTCAGAGAGACTCAGACTGCGTCTCTTTCTTAGTGTGTGTGTTTCCCTGTTGGCAGAATCGCATCGCCAAGCGCAGCAGGAAGCTGGTGGACTATGACAGTGCCCGTCACCATCTGGAAGCACTGCAGAGCTCCAAGAGGAAGGATGAGAGTCGAATCTCTAAGGTAAGGGTTGATCCCATGGTCAGTACCACGCTCTGTATCATATGACCTGCAGTCATTTGGCTTTGTAAAGTTGAGTATTTCCTGTATACAGGAAGGGTTGGAATCAGGATGAATTTAAACTGAATCATGGCGGAGTGGGCTCCTTTCCACTATCTTTAACTAAAATAAGATTTTTCATGTTATCACAGTGTTCACATTGGTGACATTGACTCCCAACATTTTAATCAAAATACACTTTGACACTGTTCAGTGTTGCAAGATCAAGGGAAGCATTAAGTTTGTTTGCTCTTTCTTCTACAGCGTGGTCCATGATCAGTCTGAAATGTGCGTACATGTGCACGGGACACCAAGCTTGACGTTTTCAGGCATAACTAATGATTCTCTCCTAGGATAGACATATGCTCAATTAGCATAGGTTTCATTCTCTTTTAGAAAGCCCATTTCTGTAGCTTTTATCGTGTATGTCAGCCATTTGTAGTTGCCAGCTAGCTGATGTCACCTGCCCACTCCTCTCTCTGATTCCAGTCTTATTTCTCGGCCTATACACAGCTGCCCTGTAGACTTTCTGCATCACACATTTCCATATGCTTCTCTCATGCTTACCTCTTTTAATGATTCCCATTGCCTATAAGGAAACAAAGTCTAAATTCCTGAGCACCGCATGTACAACTTTCATGTTTTGGTTATTACTTACCTGTTCGTTTTTACGGGCTTTCAAATGTTTCCCTCCCCACTTTGATTTGTCCATCTAAGCAACCCCTAAGACCTACACATCAACTCTTGAGCAGTCATAGTAACAGCTGAGAGGCCTCAGAGATGCCAGGCACCCCTTTCAGGATTTCATCCACGGTATCTTTCCTTCATGTCACAGTCTGAGAGGTACAGAAAGACAAAGCATTCTGACAGGTTCACAGACCGTAAATAAAGGATTCCATCCCAAAGACCACCTCCCTGAGTGTTGTGATTTTCTTCACCTCTTCTTTAGCAAACATTTTCTGCTGTTTCAAGACTCAGTTAAAAGACCACCTTTTACTAATACATCTTACATTAGTGTTCCTAGTACACTGACACTTTCTTGGGTGAACATCTATGTCTAGTATCTAGAGCACAGCTGCCTATGTGTCAAGAAGTTAGCACATTTTTGTTAATAAATGATCCAGTAAATAAATGAATCAGCCAGGAACTATAAGAATAACCACAGTATTCAATCCAGATGCCTGTTTCAGTGACTCTTAATGTTTCATGTTTAATTGAAAAAAAATTAAACAAGGCATGGAAATTAACTTAAACATCTCTCCTTCCCAGAAATTTTCTAGGATGCTATAAGCTTCTTGTATTTTACATTAAATGATGCTCTTGGGTATAGAAGTAGCTCATTTTTAGTGTAAACATATTATCGTATGTCATTTCTAGGCAGAAGAGGAATTTCAGAAAGCACAAAAAGTGTTTGAAGAGTTTAATGTTGACTTGCAAGAAGAGCTACCTTCATTGTGGTCAAGGTAAATGTGTTTCTGCATAGTGTGTGCATGCCCCCTTTACAAGCTCTGGAGGAGTAAGTATCCCGTACTGTGTGCAGCCTGGGCTGTCTCAGTATTGTCCAACGGAAGTACTCCGTACCTGCCCTTCTCAGTCTGCTAACTCCTTGCCACATGTGCCTGGAGAGCCTCAGCAAGATGGCTAATGTAACTGAAGAATTGAATTTTCAATTTAATATATTTTATTAAAATTCATTTAATTTTAAATGATTACGTGTCCAGCACCTGCCATATTGACTAGGCTTCTCACGTGGAGACTCAAGACTTAATTGGAAGCATCAAAAGAACTGCCTTTAATCTTAAATTTTTAAAAATTTTTTTTTATTGGTACCGAGGATCAAACTCACGACCACGCACTTGCAAGGCAGGCACTTATACCGCTGAGCTAAATCCCCAGCCCTAATCTTAAATTTTACAATAACAGCCTTTCAGCTTCATGGGGGAATGGACTTCCTTTATTGCAAGAGCTCATCTACACTTTTGGCTTTGATGCTAAACCTTCTTTCAGCCCTGACCCTTTACCATGAGCTCCATTTCTATTGCAGACATTATTCTTCTTATTTACACATATTCTGAATTTTTCGTGGCATTAAGTAAATTGTCACTAGTTTGTTCTACTCGTCCTGCAATGGTAGGACTAAAATGTTACTGGATGCTCCTATTTGCACTCCTGTGACACCATGCCAATAAACAGAGTTGTGTTAACGGTGGAATATTGCTTTAAGTAAATTCCCCCATCCTTAGCTTCCAGCCAGAGGGTTTGCCCTGAGGCCTTGCTTATGTCAGATCTAGAGCTACTTATCCTTCAGTCCTGTAAGCATTGTGAATATCTAGCCTGGAAGTTTGTCCATTTTTGTGATCATTTTTTTTTTGTTCAATAATACATACTCAGTATTAACTTTTGAACTACTGAAATACCAATATGGCAGGTTCTGGACACATAGTCATTTTAAATTAAATGTATTTAAATAAAATTTATTAAATTGAAATTCGGTTCTTCAGTTACACTAGCCTTTGTAAAACTGACTTTTACACATAGCTTGGGTAATAGGTAAGACATGTATACCTATCCAATAAAATTGTCTCATTGGTCACCTGCATTTACTCATTTTTTTCCAATGTCTGCCTACTGTTTTGGTTGTCATCATTAGTGACTGTACTGTGTAGGTATACTTTTTAGCTAGTTCACTGTGAAACTAGCCTTTAGGCATAGCTTGGGTGATGGGTGCAACCTGTTTGTCTCAATATGAGATAATGAAACTATCTCATTGATCATCTGGATTAATTCATTCAACATGTGAATTTCCTCCTTGTGGGGGGGTATCTTTTCTTCTGGGTTCCCAAGACTCAAAACTTTGTAACTGTTAACTATTCACAAAGCACTCTCAAAGGAGACAGTCTACCATTTTTCAGAGTGGTTTCTGCAGGGATATTTCACTATATTTTTACTCCTACCACCCACTCTTCCTCATCCTCTTGGGCATTATGGTGGTGGTCTTGCTCTTACATTTTCTTCAACCGCATCCTGTAATCCCCTTTCAGAATTTCCATCTGGTTTAGGGTCTTACTGCCTGTGAGTGAAGACCTCTCCTATCCCCTGAGGAGGGTTTTGGTCAACCTGCATAAATAAACTTTCAAGGACATAGATTTGTAAATTGAATTTATTTAGTTATTCATATCTGTGTAAAATCACCATTTGAAATGATGTATATTTTAAAGAAATACTACCCTTTTACATATACATTTCATGGAACACCATTATCCAAAATCTTTACAGACATCTTTAACATTAATATCTGCACTAAATGTGCTCATTCCATCATCTAGTGGTTCCCCAGCACTTTTTATCATCTTTAACAGATACTCCAGCCCTAATGACAATTTACACAAATGAAAAATTTTCATTTGCATACAATAAGACAGTTTTGCAATAAGACAGTTGCATACAATAAGACAATTTGTCATTTGCATACAATAAGACACTTTTTCTCTTTGTTTCCACCAAAACAAAGGAACTTTGTGTTCTACAATGCTATTCCTTATGCCATTGCTTTTTAAACTGACTTGGGCATAGCTGGGCACAGTGCACTTGGTGTGTCTATCTGTGATCCCACCTATTCTAGAGGATAAGGTAAGAGGATCACAAGTTCGGGACCAGCTTGGGTATCTTACTATGACCTTGTCTCAAAAATAAAAAATAACAGAAGACCTGAGCCTGCAGCTGAGTAGCCCCTGGGTTCAATCCCCAGTAACACATAAAATGGTCGTGGGTACCATAGTATTCAGTGTTTACAATTATGAGGTAATATCATTAGTTAATAGATAATTGACAATTACAAAGTAATGCCCTTGAGGAAACTGTCCAGATTGTTGAGACAAATTGCATTAGTAAATAATTTGTTCTCCAGTAATCTCTGCAAGCATCCCAAACCAGCACTGAACAATACCATTTCAGGTTTGTGTGTGCTTCCCAATTAGTATTTGATTATTCAAAATAAAGTAGCTGTCACAATAATTTGTAACATGAACAGCTTTTTAGGGATTTTAAAATAAATGGAATAGCTGAGGGATAGTGGAGATGAACTTTTCCTTTTTTGTAATCGTATACATTTTAAATGTTTCAGTGCTTTTTAAATCTTCTAATTTATCATTTGGTCACTCAGGGCTATGCGGTGTTTTGGTCAGTCCAAATCCTTTCCTCTGATCAAAACGTGTTCTAAGTCTTTCTTTCTCTATAGTGTATTTCTTCATTAAATATAAATTACTTGATCATAATAAGTATGTGGTGTGTGCATTGTATGAGGGTCATTTTTTGAATACTTTCTCTTTGTTAAATATCATTTGATGTTCTTTGCATTCACAGCCTCTCACTATCACAATCACAGCTCTCTCTGTGTTACAGATGAGGAAGCTGAGAATGGTTCAGGCTAAACACAATTCAGCTACACACGCTGCCTAACATTGTGAAGCTTATCAGTCCCACAGCCTGCATTTAAAACTTTTCTGTAACCAAACCCGTCTCTCCCATCCCACTATCTCTATCTAGAGCCTCCCTTTATCTGAAGTGAGATTTCAAGCAGTCCTGATCTTTTAAGTTATTTCATAAGTGCATATGTTATTCTCCCAGTTGTGTTGGTCAACTTTGAAACTGCATTTAGTGCTTTATTCTTCTGTACCTTCTATGGTGAAATTCATAACTCTGACCATGCAGTCATGCACATGTTTCAAGTGCTGCATACGTGAAATCCTGCAGCACTGCTCATGACCACTCAGACTGCAGGTGGAATGTTCTTTGTGCCTGGTAGGTCCAGTTTGAATATGGTGTTCACAGCCTCCATGTCCTTACCAGTCTTCTGTCTAATTGCTGTATTCATTATAGAACGCGACGTGTTGAAGACTTTGATCTCTCTTCAATTCTGTCAGCCTTCATATTATGTATTTTGGTATTTTATTGTTAGGTACATATACTGTGTGCTTGTAATTGCTGTATCTTCTCCATGAGTTACCATTTTATTTTCTTGGAAGTCTTTCTTTGTCTTTAATAAAACTTGTGTCTATTTCATCAATATTAATCTACCCATTCTAACTCTGTTTTGGTTTCTCTTTGTATAGTATATCCCCTTGCATTGCTTCATGTTCAACCTATTCACATCTCTGAATATAAAAGGTGTCTTTTGTGAACTGTATCAGGTTGAATGATCTGTGTGTGTGCTGTATTCATTCTGACAAACTGAGCTTTCTGATTGATGTGCTTAGTCCATTTACTTTTAATGCAATTTCTGATAAAGTAGGGTCATGTTTACTATTTTGCTAAGTGTTTACAGTGTGTCTTAGGTCATTTTATTTCTTTTCCCTCCACCAGCACTATGTATCAAAACTTATTTCAAAAGTTTGCATGTATAAAGGGAAGGAGAAATGAAGTGCTACTCAATTTCGAAAGAGGAGATTGTAGGGTATGTTTATATGTTTGAAAGGAGCTTATAATTCGTAAGAGATGATGAAGAAATGTTGTTGTAAAGAAGGATGATTCCAAAGGGAATACTTGAGCTAAATCTTTTAAAATAAGTAAAGTCAGCATTTGGTGAAAAGAATACCCTAAGCAACTGAGGAGCCCAGATAGACATGGGGAAGGAAGCAACTCTGTGGGTCATTAATTAGTTTAATGTAGTGAAAGATCAGAATGAGAGGGCCCAGGAGGGACTTGTGGTCAAGAAACATGAGAGAAGCAGGGGTAGATTCACTCAGTCATCAAATATTTATTGACCACCCACTGTATGCCAAGTTCTCTTTGAAGAGCTAAAGATCCTTCACTTAAAGTTTTTATTTTCCTAGAGCCTGATTGAAGCATAGGGTAAAGCAGTTACCAACAAAAGAAGTTTTAAAAAATGAAATGTCAGACAACAAGTTCAGAGCAGAAAATAAGACAACATGATTTAATAGGGAGTGACATAGGATGGATAACCAGTGCCACTAAGTGGCCGCAGGATGGATGGGGTAATTTTCTCTCAAAGACACAGATGCTATATAAAGAAAAAAAGAAATTTTGAAAAACTATTGGGTTCCATTTTTTATGTGCTTAGTGTAGAGAATTATCAGGAAGTTTGAAAGGTTATGCTTATAAAATGTATATAACTTTAAAAATTATAGTAAAAAACACATTTGCTTTTAATTCTTCTTCAAATTCTACCCCTAACCTGGAATGTGCGTATCCTATCATTCTTGCCACTGTCTGAAACAGTTCTGAAAGCCTCTTTTGTGTCTTTAATAATGGTGTCATGTCTGCCTTGATGTCCAAACTCAATTCAAAACGTTTATCTGTCATGGTCATTCTTGACTTTGAGGAAGAACCAGAAGTTGCATGGTGCCAGATCTGAAGACTAAGATGGATAAGAACATACTGTAATATTTTTATTTGCTAGACATTACCATAAATGTTTTAAATCAATTTGGGACATCGAGACAAC